TCTCCTCCAGGCGAAACAAGCCCAGCGCCCCCAGCCTCTCCTCGTAGGAGAGATGCTCCAGTCCCCTCCTCATCCTCGTAGCCCTCCACTGGGCTCTCTCCAGCAGCTCCTCATCTTTCTTGAAATGGGGAGCCCAGAACCGGACAGAGTTCCCCCTTTCCCTCCTGATTCGGAGCCCTTCCGTGCAAGGCCCACCTGCTCTCTCGAAGTGACTTTTTCTTTTAGGAAGGTTTGGTCTTGGCTACTTCCAGCCATCCAGTATTGCGATTTGAGACAGACAACAGTTGTGGTCTGTAGGTTATGCAAAGGGGTTGATTTTAGTGGATTTAATTCCTGACCCTTTTGTAACCTCTGAGGAGAGATGTTCTCTAGCAGTGTAATAGATTTGTGTTACTAACAGAAGCGATGCACGAGTTCTACAGGGCTGCCTGAGACGCTGCTTATAGAGAGAAATATGCTCCTTGTTGGTCTGTTTTACTTCATTTAACCCATTCTTGTTGCAGGGTACGTGGCCGTTGTATCCTCAGGCTGAGGACTGTGAATTCGGCGAGCTGGTTCCCTGCTGTCGCAGGACTGCGGGGTCACGGTGGCAGCGAGTGCCACCTTACTTGTGGTGCTGTGGACCTCTCACCTCCCTGGCATGGGTTCTGCGAACAGCCCACGTTAGAAGAACGGAGACTTCTAGAAGTTGGCTAAACCACTTTGTAATCCTCAGTGTGAACCTGGAGTTGTTCTGCTCTGGGAATCAGGGCGTCTCTCTGCTTGTGTGGGCGCTGCAGTTGGGAGGTTACTCGCTGCCTCGCAGGCTGCTGATCTTTTGCAGCGTCTGGGGGTTGTTTTTCCTTTTACAACTGCTCCTTTGTGTTGGTCCTGTTCACGGAGTGACTGCAATGTGAAGAGATTGATTTCTCGAGGCTTGACAGTCCCCTCATTGCTCAAGAAGCCGAGTCGTGTCTGCTGATTCCTGGCTGTGAGCTGGTGGTGTGCCACGCGCCGACACGGTCCTGGCCAAAACGCTGCAGGTGGCTGCGCCTCGGCGGACCCGAAGGGACCTGAGTGGGTAATAAATGCCACCTGGTTTAGTGAGTGGTGTTGCAGATCAGCGTGCTGTTGTCACTGTTCCCAAATGCTTTGAGGTGTGCTGCTCAGCTGTTGCTTGTTGTTAGGAAACTTAGGGTTGGTAGCACCTGGAGAGGTCAGGCGGGGAGTGAGTAGAGAACAGAGGGAAGTGCAGTTTGTGTAATTTGCATCTTGGGGTTAAATTAGTCAAAGCCGAGGTGCAGGACAGGGGATGAGTCCAAGCCTGTAGAGAATCACTTCTGAAGGACTGGACAGTTGAATGTGTTGTTTTTGTTTAATTTTGGGGTTTTTTTTTGGCCACAGCTATTATTTTTTTGCTGGGAAAGCGTTTGTGCTCTCTCTGTGGCCTTGTCAGACAGGAGTGAGCTGCTGTCGCTTTATTCAGGAGAAACAGGAAGAGTTGTGTGGCAGCTCATCGTTCCTTTTTACAAGGTGAGAATCAGCCATGTGGCTGCCTGTCTCTGGTGCGATGACCCTTTAACTGGAGTTATCCAAGGTCTGGTTTTGTTTCATCTTTGTAAACTTGTTTGGTCTGGTTTTTGGCTTGGCTTCTCTTCTGTTGCAGCTTCTTCAGGTGGAGGCAGTGGCTCCTGCCGGCGAGTTCCGAGGAGCTGCCGACACCATGATGTTTTAGCTCTGAGTAATCCCCGCTTCTGCTCAATGCCAGGTCCAGATGCCCCCGTCTTAAATAATGCTGTGAGCATCAGGCTGAAGCTTTTGGTCTCTTCAGGTCTGCGGAGAGCGGGCTGGTGACTAGTAACTCCCTCAGCTTCTGTTTAACTAGAGGTAGGCGAGTCCTCACCTAGAGCACTGGCATCCCGCTTTGTGACCCTTGGACTTCCATCCGCTGAGAGCAGCTTTTGAAGGCCAGAGGCAGCAGAATATCACTGGAATCTCTGACTGCTTTTCCTGCTGTAATGTGATCAGCATGTGGCTGATGGAGCAATTTAAGGCTGGCTTAAAAGGGAAAGGAAGGAGGAAAAAAAAAAAAATCAAGCCCTGCTAGGTTGGCCACGTAACTCTTCTGCGGTAGGCCGCCGGGGGGCTGGGGCGCGGGCGC